GTCTCAGCCGGAGCCCTAAGCAGGCCCACACTCCGCACCTGTTTGGCAGAGCCCTGCGGACCCTCTGAGGCTACAGGTGTCCTCCCTCGTGCCCTTTTCCTTCTCGCCATTTATTTAAGAAACCAACCCACCTGTCCAGCTGTTTCCAATAGTTAGGATTTTAATTATTGCATCCCCACGTGGGATTGAAAACACGCCTCTGTCTGTGTACTTTCTGCAACCATTACACTTAGAGGCTGGGTTAGACGGAGGGTCAGTTTTGGGGGCCAGAGGGTTTCGCGGGGAGGTGCTGCACCCTTCCCTTGGGGAGCGCCTGCGGCGGGCTGTCTCCCTCCTGGCCAGGAACCGTAGGGGATGCACTGTGTTTCTCTGAGCGGCACACCGGCCATGGGGCTCGGGGGCGGCGGGGAAGTCCACGTGGGCATCAGGTGTTCAAGGAAATGAGAACGGCGCCGGTGCCGGATTTTGCAAACGTGTTGCAGACCCAAATGCGTGAACGCCCCTGAAGGACCAGCTTTGCCCGAGCGCCGTCTCGCAATACATTATGGGTTTAAAGGGGTCCCTCCATGTCCCCAGTCTTCGAGGAGGAGAAGGCACAGGGGCTTCCTGGGGCCCAGTTGAAACTCCCGGCTGCTGAGGTAAAGCATTCGGGGGTTAGAAAGCGTGTGGCTGAAGCTGCCTCTTCCCGGGCATCCAAGCTGTGATGCACTTTCAACGCTGTTAGGCAGGATAAGACCCAAAAGAATCCCCTGAGCGAGAACCGGGCTCTTGGAGATTCGACACGCAACATGTCCGATACAGAGCACCTGTCAGGGGACGGAAGGATGAGGCCAAGCTGTGCTGGCCGAGGGCGAGCCCTCGGACGCAGAGGGTGGAAGGGCGGCGGGCGGAGTTCGGGTTTTCCCGGGAAGGACCTTTGGGTGCGGGACACAGGCTTTGTTGTCGCAGCGGCCAAGTAGCAGAATAAAGGTGCCAGCTTTGCAGGGCTCCATGGAGAAAAATGCTAAAAAGACGCGTGGGCTTTTCCGTTGCATTTAAACTTCCAGTTTTATTAGTGGTCTCCAAAGAAACCCAATGGCTTCCCAAGGCAATTCTCGATCTTAAGGAATTAAATTAAATCAGGACCAAGAGAAAAATATTAAAAAAATCTAGAGAGACTCAAATTACAGTTTTACTATAACAAAGTGTCCCCAAATTAAATTAAAAAATCTCCAGGGTCGTAGAAATAATCTGACTCAGCCAACGTCCTAGGACATAAAGCCTCCAAAGGGAGCAGCGGCATCGGTGCCCCGCAGGGCGGGGCCCCACGCATCCGACACAATGCCTGGCGCCCGGCAGCCATTCCGCAAACAGCCACCGAGCGAGCGAGCGAGCAAACCCACCGGAGCCAGAGGCTCCGACTGTGAGCCACGGCCCGTGCAAAGGACAGCAGTGCGTTGAGCCGGAGGGTGGGCCAGCCCAGCCGCGTCCGGGAAGCTGTGAAACAAGCGGAGAAGGCGCAGAGCCCAGGCCGACGGGCTCCGGGTCCCAGGGCGCGCCAGCCAGGCTCCCTGTTCGCATTCGTCTCCGCCTTTTGCCGAGCAGTTTCTGTCCCAACCGGCCCTTCTCCTTTTTAATCTACTCTGATATTTATATGTCCAATGATTTAAGAGCAAATCCCGCCAGCCTGGCCTTCAGGCCTATTCTTCAGACCCCCGACGCCCATTTTTCAGACCGACCTTCGCACACCTTATGCACACACCAGCCGGAAGCCGCTCTTCCACCACGAGCCTCTCAGGGGAGGGTTGTGGTTCCACTCGTCCGTCCGTCCGGGTGCTGCCTGTTCCGTGACCACGGGAGGGCGAGGCCCCGCCCGCCCCGCTGCCCCGCCTCCTGTGAGGCCCTCGGACGCGGCGGGGCCCCCGCTGCTCGTGGAGCTGCCGTTCACAGCGGCTTGCTCTAGGGTCCGACAGCTGTTTGATGCCGAAGCTCCCGCCTCTGTCTGTCCACGAGTCACCTGCCGGCCCAGGTCGCGGTGCCCCGGCTGGGAGCTCCGACCCGCAGGCAGGGCCGGCGGTGACCCCAGCAGCCGCAGGCCCGTGTGAGCTGCCGCTCCCCGACCTTCCACGTCCCGCCCCCCAGGACGCGGGCGCAGAGGCCAGGGAACCGCGTCGCCCTTCAGACCAGGCCTGTTTTCATTTGTAGGCATGTGTGCGTCCTGACCCCACGGGCCTGAGCCTGGCTTTCCCGTCCGGGGACAACACGGCCAGCTCACTGCCCCAGTGGCCGCGGTGCCGCTGCCGCTGCCAGCAACCGGGCGGAGCGACTCTGTCCCTGTGGAAAGTGCTGAGAGTATCAGGGCAGGAGGGAGCGACTTCTGAATGAGAAAGAAAGGGGACAAAAGGGACCCCCCTCTGTGGTGGCTGGCAGGCCTTTTTTTAAAAGTGAGATTCGATGGCAGCTCCCAGGTGAGCCTGTGAACCTGGCTGAGCCAGGGAGGGCGTGAGACCCAAGAGCCCCCCACCTCCACACTCCAGACAGGGCGGCGGGGGCCTCGCAAGGTGTGCGCGGGCGCGAGGCTGCTGCAACCCCCAGGGCCCTTGTGGAGGTGGCTGTTAACACAGGGCGTCCCTGGAAATGCCTGCCCGTGGGAGCTCGGAGCCAGGGGTGGGGCGGGCACGGCTCAGCCTGGGGACTGGGGACCGGGGACAGGGGACTGGCAGCTGACCTTTCGCAGCCTCCTGGAGGAGGCGGAGGAGGGTGAGAAGAGAGAAAATCCACACGCTCTTCCCTGTTTTGTAAAGAAAGGGAGGTGACAGCAGTGTGTTGGAGAAACTCTTGCTGGTGCCCTGTAAATTCTTCGCATTGGTTTCCCAGAGAGTCACTCTGTGAAGAGTTTGTCACAAGCAGGTGACTCCCCAGGACAGAAAGTCAGAATTTCCAGCTTGGATGAGACAGTAGGTACAAGGAACGTTTTTACATTGAGGTTTTAATTCAAAGAGGATGGAGAAGGGGAGGGGGAACCGATACCCCATCCTTGGCTCTGGGTCTCAGAAGGGACCTTTTCAGGGGCCCTAAGTCAGTGCGGACGTGGGGGCGGGGGGAGGGGGGAAGGGGAGGGGCAGCTCTCGAGGGGGTGGAAGAGGGGGGGACAGGGAGGAGCAGGGGCCGGCACTGGGCTGTTCAGTTGCTTCTGGTGGGGGAAACCTTCCTCCCTGAGATGCAAATCACCTCATCTGGCAACTCGGTGGTGAACCCTGGGAGCCAGTAATTCCAGTAAGAGGGGATACCGCGTTTCCCGGAGTGAACTTGGATCTGGAGGGCTCTGCCTCAGGGACGGAGGCGGCAGGGGATCCCTATTCTCCTCCAGCTTCTGTGTAACAAAGGCGGAGCCTCCCTCCCAAACTCAATGAACATGAGGGACCCCACAGGGCAACGCCCACTTCCTCGCCCCACCCCCTTCCTCCTTCTCCCCCATTTGCACCCTTAGGTCAGGAGGTCAATGAAAGTGCATTCCAAAATTATCAAGACCATGAGCCAGGCGTGAATTAGGTTTCCACTCAGGTTGAAATATTCTGTCTGGGCATTAAGAAAACCCCACCGGCTTTAAATTCTTATGGTTCTGTCCAATATGCTTGGATGGATCGGAGATGCTTAGGAGCTGGTAACTGCTCATCGGCCACCTGGGAAACAAAACCAGGAACGCAGGCCCGCGCTTGGGGGGTGGCGGGCCAGCCTGCAGGCGGCAGCGTGAGCAGGACCGTGGCTCTGGGGACCACACAGCGCTGGGGTTTGAGTTTTTCATCTTCTGCGATGTCCTTTTTTCACCTCTGCCTTTCTCTTTCTCCTTCTGTCCACCGATCTTTTTACCTTTCTTTCTCACTCTTGTCTTTTACAGAATACTCTCATCCTTAAGGATGGACCTGTAAATGCAGTGTTTCCTCTCGAGCCCCTTGAAAACACTGCCGTATTTCCCGCGGGCCCCGGCCACCGTGGGAGAGCTCGCGGCCCCACACGCCTGCCTCGGGAAGCCGCCTTGACAGCGGAGGCCCGGCCGCAGGAGGCCACTCCACGCTGACCTCCCACGCACTCTGACCAGGCTCACAAACCAACCAGAAAAGGCGCTGGCTTTTGTGTTTTTTTTTTTTGTCTTTTAAGGTTTTCACAATGGCTTCAAAGGTAGTGTGAATTCATCATGTTTTGCCCCAAGAGCGGCAGAACCTGCTGTGAAGACTTCAGCGGGCACCGCTAGAGTAAACAGAAACCCGGGGCTCCCACACGCCGGGCCGGAGCAGCAGCCTGAGAACCCCGGCCGCTCAGCGCTCATCCGCCCTGGGAGACAGCACCGGCTCTCCGGCCGGGCTCGGCCCCCACGAGCCTGTCAGCCTCTGGGCACAGATACAGTATCTTTTCACAGAGAGACACGTGGCAGGGCAGTTAATCAGCAACCGATACTGTAAGCGACAGTAGATACAAGGTCTTGTAGTTATCAATTAATTGCCGTTACAAAGAGGCAACAGTTTTAGCTCAGGGACAAAAAACAGGTAACTTCCGTAACGGCAACAAGAAGCCCAGTGGAGGAAGACACAGCAGATGGTTTTTCCTGTGTGCTATCGGAATATGCAAACTAAGACACCTGTGGCACCTCGCTGGCACCTCACGGGTAGGGAGGGAGCAACACCCACCGCCCACCCCCGCCCCTCCCCCACATGATTTCCCAAACACAGCACATTCCAGGGTTACAAGGACAGGGTGCTGCGAGACAAGGGGGAGCGTTATTGACAGTTGTAAAGCATTAGGCGTCAGACAGAAACTTGTCAAAAACAGCTGCTGCCGGGCGCTGATGGATAACGTTTTCGCTCCGCCGGCTGAGCGCGCAGACAGCCGCGGGGCTGGGCAGGGGCACACACAGACCCGGGGGGTCCGCTGACAGATGGCCCGGGAGCAGCCAGCCGCGGGGCGCGCCGCCGCGGAGAGACGACACGCGGCACTCAAGGAACGTGCAGAGGCGGCGATGCCTGATAATCATTTATTTGTCAGAGACGAGCACGCAGGACACGGCAGAGGCAGGGACTGTGCAACTGGTCATCGGAGTCAAAGTTTTGTGCCGCTCGCCGACCACACAGTGTAAAAAGAGTCACGGAGGCCGTAGACAAAAGTGCCCGGGAATCTTTTATGATCCATTCAATTAAAAAATACAAGCTCACGCAAGGGTTCGATGTCTCAAAAGTAACAATTTCATTAAAATCCGCCTATGAGAGGAAACCACAAAAGCGAGAGGGAAGTGGCACGTGTCCTGGAGAAGGACCAGGCGCTGCGTCGGGTGCGGCCCCACGCGAGGCTCTGGGGTTCGGGGAGCGGCCAGGCCACCTAACGATCGAAAACATGTTTTATTGCTCAGGTGAGGGGAGCTGTTTCCTGTGGTCGGGCCACGTAGTCGTTTAAGTGGCCAGAAATCTACAGAATGCCTCAAAGGGTACTTCAACCATGAACCTCTACACCCATTGATTATTCCTGATTTAGAAAAGGTCAAAGGAGCCAAACTCCAGTAAAACTGTACATTTATCTCTAGGTCATTTTATCATTTAAAGGGAAAAAAAATTCTCGTTCCAAAGATTGAATGTGGGCCCTAAAATTATTTACTCGCTGCGGCCCGAGCACGTGGAAACCCCTGAAAATAGAGGCCTGTAAGGGAAACCCGGACGGAGACGCCAGGGCGCCGGCAGCCACCTCGGCCCCTCCTGAGGGAAGCACAGGCGACGCTGCGTTTGTCGAAGCCGCGCTGGCCTGAACCGCCGCCGGCGGGGACGAGGCTTCCTGTGGCGGTTTTAAAAAATTTTGTCTATTATTTTAAAAATCATTTTTTCTCTTTTAATCAGACACAAGATTTTTAGAAAAAGACACCTATGACTTCATGCAGGATAAACTTTCCATTGAAAAAATACCGGCGGCCCTGACGGAACTGTCATCGGCGCCGCAGCATCGGCCAGATCTCCTCTAACCGCCCCCCCCCAGAGGCTCAAGCAACGCCTCTGCGCCCGCAGGGGGAGCGGGACCGGCCACAATGCAGGGGACGGGAGGCGGCTGGTCCTCAAGTTCTCCAAAGGGGGCTCTGGCGTGGCGGGGCATTCCTTTCCCGTAAGGAAATTAGCCAGAGCTTTTGGTGCTCATTTCTCTCCCCTCGTCTGTAAGGCCAGTATACAAAAACCAAAGAAATACAAGAAGATAAAACAAAACCCCCGAGAGATCTTGAAATGGGGCACATATCCCGGGGGACCCAGTCACACCACGCCCCGCCCTAAGCCCAGGGAAGGTGGGTCGGGGCTCTGAGTGTCCCTGAGTCCTCCGCCAGGGAACGGGACTTGTGTGAGCCCCGAGCTCCATCCGTCTCAGCGCACAGGAGGCGCTTCGACCGCAGAAGAAAGAGGCATGCGGTGGAGAGCGTTAGTGGTCAACAGAGAAGGAGCTCTCTCTCAGTAGTGTGTGCTTGTCGTTAGTGCCGACGGTGACTCAACCGAGGTACAGAATAGTCACTTTAACAGAGAGATGAGAGTCTGAGATAACCAGAGGAAAACAGAGACTGAAGCCATTCTAATAACGTCCTGACACCAAAATAACATTAAAATGAGAAACTAACAAGGTAGGTTCAAGGCCTCCGGGGACCCGTTTTCTCGGCCAGGTTTCACATTCTCACGACGTCGTGGTCCTTCTCTTCCAGCAAAGTTATCAGCTGGCAGAAGCTGTCTTTCAGAGCGTCCACGTTGTCCAGCGAGCAGGGCTGCAGGATCCAGCGTTTTCCACGGGCCAGGGGTTCAAGCTCAAAGTATTTCTTGACCTTAAGGGGGACACAGAAGATAAATGTGTTGTTAATGACATCGGAACTGTTCCCATAGCGACATGCTGAGAGTGATAAAGTAGGGCGGTTTCAGGAAGAACATATGTGAACGGTGATGCCCAGAACTTTCTAGAAACCCACCCCCAGCTGTAGTTAGAATGCGGGCTGCGCATGGGCCCAGGAGTGTTTTCTTTAGGGGTGAAGGGCCCGCCTATGAGTCCCCGTTCCGTCCGCACACTTGGCGGCACGGGGGCCTGAGGGAGCCCGGGAAGAGCTGCGCGGACCGCGTGTGTCACACGGCAGAGCAGGCGGCGGCCGCCACGTGGATCCAAGTCTGCCAGGCCGATGGCGGGGGGTTGGTGGGGAGCAGCTCTCGCCACGCCGCCCGCCCGCCCGCCCGCAGGAGTGCCTGGGCCCCGTCAGGCACTCGAGGCCGTTCTTTTGATCGAAGACACACAGAATTAGAAATACAATTTAACTTAACTCATCTTTCTTTTCTCTTCTTAAATTTCTAGTGTGTATTTCTGAGACCCGGGGAGGCGGTTTTTAGGAAAGAGGAAGGAAACCACGTGTGTGTGAACGTATCTATGAACTTGTATAAATACACATCCGTGCATGACGTTTCCCAGCTTCCCCCTCCTCGTCCTGAATTTGCAGGTGGGGAAAAACCAAGACGTGGCCGGTCTGTGGGCCGAGCGCCGGCTATCTTAGGTGCCCGTCCCCCGAGTAAGCCGGCACCGTCTTGCTCAGGGCATCGGCGAGGATTCTAACAGTATCCAGGATTACTGACTCCTGGCTTTAAGTCAACTTCAAATTGTCATGACCTTCAGAAGTACTGACGATCTTCTCTCAAAGGGTATAATAAAGTACTAAGCTCGTGAATCCACACACGCACCCCCCACCAGAATCCTGTATTTGTAGTCCCGTAAGGGTTTCACAACGTAAAACACAGTCAGTGCCAACAGCAGCAGAGGCGCTATTCAAAAACATCCCTGGTCAACAAACTTCATTACATCCAAGGCGCCATGGGAGATGACCTCGGTCACACGTGACCCTGGCAAAAAAAAATAAGTGCCCCGACCTTAATGCCGTTCCCGACTGCGGTTTCACTGTGCCTGTATCGGCCCGAGAATCAGACGAGCGTGGGCAGCGGAGAGGCACCGCTCGAAGCGGCGCTCACGTGTGCGCACAGGCGGGACGGGGCAAGGACACAGGACGCGCGCTGCGTTTTTATGCTGGTTTAGGAGCCACACACGAGTGAGCGTGCGCCAGCTCAGGGGCGTCTCAGACGTCCTCCTACAGATGTCTGCAAATTCATAATGAACACTGCTCTTCCTGAAAAAGAAAGACTCGAGAATCGATGCGTCCTCACTCATTTGGGCTCTGAAGTGTAACGAGAATGTCACAGTCAGAAAATAGGTGCACAGCTTCAGAAAAATCTCTGCCGCAGGTTTTTTTTTTACTAATCACGTTAAGAGGATTCTCCCTCATGAAATACGTAAGGGGCGTTCTTTTAGTTTCCTTTCTTTAGGGCGCTGCAAACAGCTCACTCGCGAGAGAGTGTAAAACGGCGCGCGTGGGCCAAGCGGCACGGGCGGCCCCCGGCCCCCGGCCCCCACTCCCGCCCCCGGAGCAGGGCCTGCCAGGCAGCCGCTCAGCCTGGAGAGTGGCGCCGGTCCGGAGGGGAGAGTGGGCGGGAGGGCCGGGGGCGGGAGAGGCTGAAGTCCCGGGGCTGCCCCCCAGACATCAACAACGGAGACGCCTGCGTCTCCCGCAGAGGCCCAGCCAGGGCACCGGGCCACAATGGCGCCGGTGGGCGGCCCGCGGAGGAGGTGGTGCCCCCCGAGCATTGCTGCCACCGGGGCGAGGTCGCTGACGCTAGAGCAAAGGAGGCGACACACACAGCCAGTGTAGGTCACCCTAACAATACTTCCTCCCCACGGGTCGTTTACAAGTTCGTAGACTCGATCTTGGGAGCACACGAGCAGCTCATTTGAAAACAAGGTTAGATTTACACAGTCACAAAATGTCATTTGTGGTATTTTGCAATAGCCCCCCCCCCCCCCCCGTAAGGTTTCTAGCTTCCCACTGGGTTGGTTTCTAGGCAACCGAAGGTACAGCCCATCGTGCAGGCCCACGTGGAAGATGCTCGAGGTAAGTAGCCGTGTTTCAGGAGCTGTTCCTGCTGAATGTGAAACGTGAGAGGCGAGGGGGAGCGTCCACGGCGGGCCGCGCACCCAGCACGGGGGCCGCGGCGGGAGGCAGACACGCACGGCTGGGAACCAGCGGCTTTCCGACCGGCTGCCCCAGCAGGCGGGGCCCAACCTGCCCGTTCTCCCCGCGGGCACCCAGAGGACGCCTCGCCCGCAACCCTGCCGCTGCCGGCTGTAAAGCGAGGCCGGTCCCGGCGACACGGGAGTCCAGCGCGCGCCGTGCTCACGCCTGGAACCAGCTTCTCGTCACCCGGGGCTTCGCGTTTCTAAGGACAAGCAGCGCCCCGCGGCGGGTGCGGGGGGCAGGCGAGGACTTGCTGCTTCAACTGGGGCTCCTCCCTCACGGTGACGTTCTAATTTAGGTTTCTTATGTTAACCCGAACTCATTTTTACCTCCCTGTATTATTATTACAGTAACAATTACAGACATGTCACTTATCCCCATTGCTTTTTTTTTTTTTAATTTTGGTCCTTCCGCGGCTGAGGTATAATTTTAAAGAAAGGGGACAAATCACATGCTTACCTCCGATGTTGTTTTTGAGGTTAAAAAACTGCCTGTCATGTAAGGACCTATTCTTTTTTAATAATAGACACAACTTTTTAAGGGTTATTTTCTTACGCAGATAAATTTTTTAACTCGAGGAAATGAACGTGAGCCTTTGAAACAGATTACCCGCTGCTCCCACGTCACGGGTAACTGGAAGCGGCTGGAGAACGGAGGCCCTGGCCGCTCCGCGTTGGCTCGGGCAGAAGCACGGTGGGGGCGGGGGGGCACAGTCCGGAGGGGTCACCGCCTCTTCCTGTGAGACAGGGGGCTAAGGTCTGCGCTCAGGTGTCTGTAAACAGGGCTTGGACCCACGAGAGTGGACGCGGGACATTAAAAAGCGTTACAGAGTGTGGCAGTTCCTCCCGGCCAGGGACTGGGCTGTGCGTCCTGGAACATGCCACCCACCAGGGCTGTGAACTCAATGCCATTGGCACCAAGGTGGCATTGCTGTAACTGAGATGCTCCCCCAGCCCCGCCACGCCGTGTCCGGCGCGCCACCTGGGGACCCGGCCTCCGCCCTTGGCCGGGGATCCCACACTCCCACCACTGGCCGTTCGCTCGCCTGCCCTCCCCTCGCGCCCCGCCGGCACCCAGCAGGCGCACTCGCTCTGTGGGGAAGCCAGCAGGCTCCACAAGACCCTTCGGAAGCACGGGGGTGGGCGTGGTGGGGTCAGGGTCGTTATCAGGGGCTTTGGGAATCTGCACCCTGCAAGTTGGCCTTGCACGACGTCCTTCCTTCCCCCAGCGCTTCCTGATGAGACCTGCGAGCACAGAGGTGGCCTGGGAGCGCTTCAAGCACCAGTGGGCACGGGCGAGGCAGTGGGGGTGGATTTGGGGACAGGGATGTGCATGGAGGCCGCGTGGGCGTGCTTGGACGGGCCACCTGACCTGCGTCCCGTTCTAGGAGGGGTTCTCCAGATGCAAGAGGAAACAGACACAGCGGCTTGCAGGGCACCGTGCTCACCACGTGCTCGGCGAGGTCCCAAGAGCCCCGCAGCCGCGGCTCCGTGGCGGCCCTCACAGGCCCTCGCGCTGCCCGGCTCCCCGCAGGCTTCCTCCCCCGCCCCCCCACCCCGACGGCGTCTAGGCCACACGTGGCCTGGAGGGAAGGCAGGCCACGGATTCCCACAGGAGGCACATGCGCATTCAGACTAAACCTTGACTCACCTAAGGCAATCTGAACAGGAAGCGCCCTAGCAGAAGGGTCTGTTAACAGAACCTTCAGAAACAAAGGCACCTTCTCCATCTCTGGAGAAGGAGTCAGTCTCCCGGAGTCCAGGCTGAGAGAGAGACAGCAGCGGAGACAGGCGGTGGGGCCTCAGGGCGATGCGGGGACCCACGCAGGGAGCGCCGGGGGAAGACCGCGGGCCAGGGCTGGGAGTGTCCAGGGGGCGCGGGGACAGAGCGAGACCCGGCCGCGCTCGCGGCTGTGACCCAGAAGCCGTTACGGTTCTCGTGTCGTTTTTAATGCCCACGGCGTGTCCACCGCACAGTGTGCACTTTCCTCAGAACCGCGTGCATGCTGTTTTTGTGAGACAGGTTCACGTCAGTTTTGAGCTCGTTGGTGAAACCAGGGCCGACCTGAAACCCTGTATGCTACGTTCCGGCTGTCCACGGGGGGCGGGAGCCGGCGCGTCCACACCCCGCCTCCTCGCTTCAGCCGCGGGCGTCGGCCGTGAGCGTGGACGTACGTGTTGCAAGAAGATGTCGCACTGAGGGGACGTTCCTATCCAAACGCTCATTGCGCACCTCCCCTTCCCAACGCCAGCTGCGAGGGCGTCCGATCGCAGGAGCCGGGACGGCGGCTGTGGTCTGGCGCATTCCCATTGGAGACCTGCCAGTGGAACGACCGGGACCTCTTCCTAGGGCCGGCGGTTAAACACTCCATGCCCGGCTGCTCCGTGTGCGCCCGCTGGCACAGGGGTCCGCGGCGTTCGGGTCTCGGCCGCGGGAGCTCACGGAGCAGGCTTCGCCTGGTGCCCGTCCCGCGCGTCAGGGGAAACCTGCCCCGCGGCTGCAGGACCCGGTCTGCAGGTGAAGCGTCAGGGTGTCATTACAATTCTCGTGAGCGTGTCCTCGGGCAGCTGGGTCTGAGCAAGGCTCGCCCAGAGAGTGGCCCCCGCTGTCCCCGCTGTCCCTGCCTCCTGGGCCGGCTCTCAGGGCTCGAATGTCCTTAGGAAGGGGCTAAATAGGTCGTTAAAGGCAGAGATAAATAAGACAGATAACACCGATTTGCCACA